TCTCTGATAAAGCACGCTAAAAGAAGCCAATCACAATCCTTGTTAAGAATTGTTCAAATAATTTAATTGGCTAACGAGACGACAGCTTTCAATCATAAACTGGACTTCAGCGAAGCTTTCAGTTTCGAGGTCCAATTTCGAGAAGAATGATGCCTTCAAATTTCGCTTTTTAGTTTAATTTTTAAATAAGGATCTAAAGGCAGATAAAGGTTTCTAGTCTAGAGGAATCCGTCCGCATTGTGGCTCATGGAAACGTGCACTGTGCGTATGGAAATAACACAACAAATAGCTCAAAGCTTGTGGATGAAAAGGCGAAATGCTGAGTTGTATTTGAAAGGAGCTACAGTTATTTACGGATTGCAGCCGCCAGCAGCAAGATTGCCCGAACCAGCTTCAAAGTTGGAAAGACTAGATTACTCCCACTGGTTCTACTCCGAATACAGGAGACAATATTAGAGCAGGCTTTCAACTGATCACTCGTCGGGAGAGCGATGATACGAAATTGTTGAGGTTCACTTCGCTGAGATGACCGAAGATCGTCAGTAATATAAGCAAACGAGCGTTACTACACTGCATGTAAGTGTTGTTTGAGCATTTTTACAAAAATAAAGCTTCTCATCATAAACAGAGAAAGCGCAATTGGTGTATTCTCTCGTTTTACTTCTTTAGTATAAATAAACAATAGCCTCCATTTGGCGCGAAAATATGCTGGGATATTTGTCCGCTGACATTATCTGTTCCGAGAAGCGAACAGTTTTCCGAGAGGGTTAGGAAAATTGTGAGCTTCGAGGAACAAGTACTAATGTCCAAGGACGAATATCCGAGCATATTTTCGCGCCAAATGGAGGCTAATGTGTTTAGCATCCTTGAAATCTTTTTCGCAACACACGCAATTTGAAAATTGGGGAATATTCTCGGATATTCTCCAGTTTTAGCTGGGGAATATTGGTCACGTGACGTGTTAAGATCAATTGCTCGCGGGCGAAAATATTTGATTGATTAAAATGTCTAATATTGAAGCATTCGCCACGTTGAAAATTTGCTTATTTCGCTACGTTTTTTGTCGGAATCTAGCAAAACTTGTTATTTTAGTACCGTTTTAACACTACTGTTGTTAACAATGGTCTCCGTGAGCTATATTCAATGTAGAAAAACAGCTCGTTTCCATTGCGTTTGTCTAAGTCACAGGGCATGTTTAATTTGGGTCCAATTTGTCAAAATTCCGATGCAAAAATTTGAAAGTCAGCTTAGCGCCATCCACCCCACGCTCTGTTCTCTGATAAAGCGCGCTATTCCAGCCAATCAGAGCGCGCGTTATATGGAAACTTTATTATAAAACTTCATATCCCAAACAAGTATTCTGGTTTCCCCCCGAATAGCATTTTTCCCGCCCAAATAGCAGTAGTTCCCAGATTTTACGCCGAAAGTCGGGGTAGGGGTAGGGGAAGAGGGGAAGAGGTAAGTAAATAATTATCAGTAGAATGAATTAATTAAGTTACCAGAAACATTTCATCAGTCCTTTGTCATCACGGCCGCTTTGTCTATTAAATCCCATTTTCATTCACATTGAAACAGAACTTGTATTTTTACTTTCACCCTGAAAACAGACTGAGAAAAATGAAACGGGGCAACAATTTTGTTTCTCCGACGATGTTGCAGTCTGTTGCATGTCTTAGTTTTTCTGTTTTCGACGGAAGTCTAAAAGTTTAAAATTGAATATTGTAATCAATTTTCCATTTTTGTTTTTCGGCCAAAACATTCCAAATCGTTGACAGAACTACCCCAGAGGGAGGGGGAGGGGTCCATTAGCACGGTAAATGTTTTTGTCCCCAGTCCTCTCCCCATAGCCCCGCTACCTTCCCTGCTTAAGCAGTCTGGGAAGTCGAGCTCTCTTCGCGGTCTTTCGCGACGTTTGGGATCGTTTGGTGAATATTGTGTCTTTTAGTCGCTCAGTTCTGTCCATTACAGCGAGCAGCGAGACTTCCAACGTTAGGCAAGAAGGAAAAAAGGCTTAGTTTTCCTAACTTAAGCGGCTGATGTAAATCATATCGAGACTTCCTTAAGCTTTTCAGGCGCGGCGCCATATTGAAAAATATGGATTGGACTGGATTGGATTTGTTAAACGAGGGATTGGACTTGTAAAAGTGAAGATGCCCTTAAAGTTTTAAGAATTCTCATGAGACTTGGTACATATTAAAGACAAGCTTGTAAGCGGGAAGTTCGAGTCCGTTTATTTGGCAGATTTCAAATTAACGGATATGCAGTACACGTGATGTTTTCGAGAAGTCGAGAACTGAGTGAAACTATACCTAATCTAAGCCAAAATTTGAGAAGGAAACTGGAATTCTGAATAGTGCTAAAGGCCACAGAAATATCTCTGGGTTTCTGAGACTCTGTCTGTTGCCCCATGCCTTCGTGGTGGAGTACTCGTGTTTCGACTTTGATGTTTGGCTGGTTGGTTTCTCGCTAAAGAGAGTCTCTAAAAAGAGATTGAAACGTCCTTTCTCTTGAATGATACCAGTTAATATATCACTTTCCTCTTTAGGAGGATGTTAAAATGGGAGGCAAAACGCCTTCCTATGATATGAGATACATGATAAATTATTACGTGTACAAATTTACCTGACCGTATTCGCAAAAACATGCTCGCAAAGAGCTCACTGAAAGACAGTCCCAGCGGCTACAAGTGCCTTAACCACTCCTGGCTGGGGTATTGACCCGTCACGATGTCCCTCTCCAGCAGGGTCCCAGGTCAACACAGGAGCCTCAGGTAATTAATGTTCAACAACTGAGCAAAGTGCCCAGCAACACAGTCAATATCAACGTTATTTGGCACTGAAAACTCAAGTGTACCTAAGTGAAGATGAAGGTAAAAGACATCCTTCCCCCAGACATTCTCCCCTACCCCCGCTTTTGACGGCTGGCTGCCAGCAAACCACCAGCAGATAGGCCAGTCATTGGGGGCCATGTGCCCAGCCTGGCCGTCGGAGCCCCTCTTAGGTTTTGAGCCAAGGGTTAGGTTCGGCCGGGCTTCCTTCTGTACTGTGTTCCGACTCCATGGATAAAGGTTACTTTAATTCGTATTTCAATGATCACAGACTGTTAGCCGAATGCTATCCTTGCGTGTAGTCATACAGCTANCCCCTACCCCCGCTTTTGACGGCTGGCTGCCAGCAAACCACCAGCAGATAAGCCAGTGCCTGGGCCATGTGCCCGGCCCGGCCTTGACGGAGCCCCTCTTAGGTTTTGAGCCAAGGGTTAGGCCAGGGCGGGCTTCCTTCTGTACGGTGTTCCGACTCCATGGATAAAGTGCATTTTCCTTTTCGTATCAACTACATGTGTTTCAATGATCACAGACTATTAGCCGAATGTTAACCTTGCGTGTAATCACGCAGTTACACCAATGCTAGCAGAATGACTGAACACAAATTTTACGGAAGGTGTAATGGATTGACCCAGAAAGTGTCGAATGTAGTATTGTGCGTCGAATTTATTATTTTTCCCGACGGTTTTATACTGGACCTGAATCACGTTTTATCTTCTCGCATCTGATTGGTTTATAAACAATGAAACTGGGTGAGATTTAGTTAAGCTCAACAAGTTTTATTTCAAGGATATTGTAGAGTTTTTATTCACCCCTGAATTTTGTTCTCTATTACGTGTTTTGCAAATCCATGTGTTACAAATCCAATCCAATCCAATCCAATCCAATCGATCTTTTACAATATGGCACCTGAAAAGCTCGAGGAAGTCTCGATATGGTTACATCAGCCGCTTCAGTTACGAAAACTAAGCTTTTTTTCCTTCTTGGCTAACGTCGAAGGTATCCCTGCTCGCCGTAATGGACAGCACTGAGCGATGAAAAGACACAAAATTCAAAAAACGTTTCCAAACGTCGCGAAAGACCGCGAAACGATAGTCGAAGAGAGCGCGACTCTTAAGCGGGGAAGGAAGCGGGGTTGTGGGGAGGGGACCTGTGGGCAAAAAAATTACCATGCGAATGGACCCCTCCCCCTCCCTCTGGGGCAGTTCCGTCAATGATTTGGAATGTTTTGGCCGAAAAACAGAAATGGAAAATTGATTGCAATTTTCAATTTTGGACTTCCTAAATTCACGTAATCGTTCACGCTGACACAAGACTGTGACAATGGTTTTCCTGCAGATAAAGGAATATCATAGCCTGTTTGATTTTCTATTCAATGCTGACTTCACAAAAATAAGAAGTCTAAGTGTTATTTTTGTTTCTTATAAATGTGAAAATGGTGAAATGTTTATGGATACACGTTTATTGATTTCGCGAGAAAAAAGAAAGGAAAATCAAAAATTAACATCGATTTTCAATTTTTAATTTGGATTGAAAATTAAATGGACGAATGACCCACGGACCGCTAGAACATCTGAAATCAATTTAGTGTTGATAATGCCGAACTGCAGCCCATTCAAAAGTCCTCCGTCATAGCTTTTAACACTCTAGCGCGATTAGGAAAAAACACAACTGACCAGATGTGATTGAAAAGCTGGTACGTAAAAGACGTATGACATGAATAAGAAGTTAGATGAAAGTGGCAATTAAGTCAAATTCGAGTTAATATTTCTTCATTCTGCTCAGAGAGCTTATGTCATATTAATTTCTATGCTATAGACATATATTATCATTAACATCGTTTCCACAGTGTGAGTGACAAGTTTGATAAAACGATGTAAATTTTGGTTCATATTCCTTCATTCTGCTCAGAACGGTTATGCCCTTATGCCCTTAAATTTTCATGCCATAGACATATTACATTAACATCGCTTGCGGAATTTGTCATAATCCTAGACCGATTCTGAAACTGATAACATATATTCGACGTTTCTTATGAGCGTGTTCGTTACATACGCAGCATTGTCCAATTTATGTCTTTATTTAACAAATAAAGAAGCCTAAGCCGTGTATTACACTGTGATAAAACACGACGGGCATTTCAGAACACGAGGGAAATGTAGAAAACACGTGCCGCAGGCGAGTGTTTTTTACATTTTTCGAGTGTTCTCAAATGTCCGGAGTGTTTTGTCACAGTGTAATACACGGCTTAGGCTTCTTTATTTGTTAAATAAAGACATAAATTGGACAATGCTGCTTCTTCATTTGCTTTATGATACAGATTTTACACGCACGAAACAATAAAACACGCTTTTTCTATGTTGTATACTCTGATAAAACATGGGTTTTTGGCCAGTCAGAGCGCGCGCAGGGTCCTATCTATATTATAATGGTTAATAAGAGGTCACGACAACATGATTTGTAAACCGGGGCTGCGTTGTTCACTTTTGACATAATGAAGAACGGAAGATAAGGGCTGGTATCTGGCCCCGACGCACTGAAGTCTTGTTGCTGTCTTTTGATGACGATTGAAAGGTAACTGTCACACCAGAACATGAGACACTGGACATGCCATCCTCGTGATGAAAAGTACTTGCGTTTATCGTTATTTGAGCGGTTGCAGTGTATAACAGCCCTGCACGAATAGAAATCTCTTGCGAGAAATGCACTTCAAATGTCATATCAGTGGATATGGTGTTGTAGGATCCATTTCTTTCTGCTATCAAAGAACTTCCAAGATACAAACCAATGGTGACCTGAACGTTTGTTGAACCGCTTTTGACTCCCCACAGACGGTAGCCCGTTAAAATGATGTCACCATTTGTTTGGAAATCAATGGCGTCAACCCTTCCAAGGAAGTAACCCCAGCCTGAAGTTGGATCATCTGGTTCTTCGATGCGCCAGCAATCACAATCTATGAGGATGAGAAGAGGAGATGAAAACAACAGCAACAGTAACAACACCAAATTACAAACAACATTTTTAACATCATGAAACATGTTTCGACTTCATATGTCATCTTCAGTTGCAAATGTTTGACGGTTGTAGAATAAGAATTAAAAAAAGACATCAATTTAATTCAGCTGATATCCTAGAGTTGCATTCTCTCATTTATAATAAAACGCCTCCTTTATGTTAATTCTTTAGACGCAGAATATGAAAACGTGACAGGTCTCCGCAGATCAAGAGTCATGACAAGTCCTCCAAAACTACAAAAGCCTGTAAAAATACGACGTCTCATCCTACAGAGGGTGCTCACGGACAGAACAAAAGCCAAACATGACTCACTTCCGGTCTATCGGTGTTCCGTACTGATACAACAATAAACGTAACAGTTGTTCTCCTTAATTGCCAAGTTTGTAATAATAATAAGTTTGGAGGAAACTCTTGTGCATATCCGTATATTCTTGAAAATCCATGGGTCTCCCCACTGAGCTATCAGTTACCCCGCGAGCAGAGTCTCCTTCGATCTTTCTAGAAGATCGAACGAGACTCTGCTCGCTGGGTAGCTATCAGTTAAAAACCGCGTCAAATCTCAGCCGACAGTTAAAATTTTGACAATTATCACCATCAGTTAAGCCCCAACCAGAGCTCTATTTCAGTAATGTGATCCTGTTTTAACCGGGTACCCGGTACTGAGCAAGAACTACAGTATCTACCGAAATTAATATTGCAAGGTGATACAGTCAATGCCTTCTTTTCTCTCATTCAAAACTCTGCTATGGAACTGGGTCTGAAAGCAACGACATTGTTCAAATTACTACATGACCAGACATTCGACAAAAACGCCGTTCTTCGAAATTTTTCAAACCTGGTTGTTTCTGTAAAACCACGTTCATCTTGGCTTTCTTTGTACCCATGCTGTTTGTTGCTACACATTCATACAATCCGCTGTCAGCAGGACTCAGGTTCTTTATGGTGAGACTACCATCTTTTACTTCAGTTTTGCCAACAGGCAAAGGCATTCCTGATCTGGTCCAGTTTATCACAGGAAGTGGAAACCCTTTGGCTTGACAAAATTCGCGAAGAGTGGATCGCTCTTCTGGTATTCTAAGCGGTGGAGGTACCGAGGTGAAGATAGGAAGGCCTATATGTAAAGAAGAATAAAGGTTCAGATTGTTGCAGTAAAAATTAATAAAAGAAGATTTTGAATAACTTCTATCCTTTAGAGAACCAGCAATTATTTGGGTCGCTGCGCAATACTTGTCTTTATGAGTATTGCGTAACGACCAAAATTAAGCCATCTGCACAATCATTTATAGGTATATTGGTAGCGTAATACTTGTAAAAACCACTTCAACAATAAGCGAAAACCACAATCCACATTTCATGGTTTCCTTGATTTCGTTTTTGAAGTCACTGAATAAGGTATTGTAAACTCTAATTTGAAATTCTTACCTCGAACAGTCAAATTACCGGAAGCTTGATGTGAGCCAAGAATATTTGTAGGAACACACGTATACTGTCCTGCGTCTCTGTAGTTTAAATGTTTAATGTTCAGGTCTCCATCATCTTCGATCCAGTGTTTAGATCCTGACAGAAGCTTTCTGCCCTTGAATCTCCATTCGATTCTAGGACGTGGATTTCCACCAGCAGTGCAATAAAATTTCGTATTTCCTCCCTCATCTCGAGTTTGTTTAGCAGGTGATAACATCACTTGTGGAGCAGATATTTTTCTCCGGGTTTTCCCGGTGGTCCCGGCATTCCTTTCGGTCCTGGCACTCCCATTTCTCCTTTTTCTCCCCTCGGTCCGGTAGGTCCGATCATTCCAGTTTTCCCGTCCATACCGGGAGGTCCCATGACAGTAATTCCAGGAAATCCTTTTGCACCTCTAGAACCGGGGATTCCGGGAGGACCTGGTTTTCCCGGCGGTCCCTGAATTCCTTTCGATCCTGGCACTCCTATTTCTCCTTTTTCTCCTCTTGGTCCGGTAGGTCCGGTCATTCCTGTTTTCCCGTCCATACCGGGGGGTCCCATGACACTCATTCCACGAGACCCTTTTGCACCTCTAGTACCAGGGACTCCGGGGGGACCAGCAGGACATACTTTCTCACTTGACTTGCAATACTGAACGGGCATAAGTTGTTCAAACTGTTTGATGATCTCGTTGCGTACGTCTTCAATTGTTACAGGAGAAGTGTCGGAAGCTTGCCTGCGATTTCTTGTTCTGAGTGTCGTTGACTGTGTTTCCGACGTATTTTTAACTGCAGAGCAAAGAAATAATTTAGATTCTTATCTCATTTAGAATTCATGAAGCTGTAGCTGAAAAAAGTCGTACACCTCCCGTTTCTTTCTAGCTAACAGAGGCGAGGCAAACCGCTAAAGCTTCTGATATGTGTAGGTGTTGACAATGGCGATTTGAATTTCAAAGTCCTGTGACGTAAATCTTCCAGCGCTCTTGCGTGTTTAGTAGGCATGTAGGGAATGACGCGCGAGTTCTATATTACTGCCAAGTTTCTGGATAATTGCTTAAAATCTCAAAAAGCAATTTGTACCCTGCCGCTCTTTGAGTGCTACACGTCCACTGTTGTAATTAGGCAGAGCGCAGGGGCAACTGTGCTCAGCGCAATTAACTCGTCTGCGTTTTATTCACTCATTTGCGATAGCAGGCTGGCAAGAAATAGAACGCTTGGATGTTGGTAAATGTTTCGTTTCAATATATAAACTTGGGCCATTCCTGTATATGAAGATCTACAGGATACTGAATTACTGAACTTCTCAGCTAGGATCTCATCTTTCTGAAATGTTTTTTCCCAACGTCACCCTTAAGTGAGTGTATTTTGCCGAATTGCAAGGCTGGTACGTACAATTAAGTCAAATGAAAGTTTGCGTGACGATTCAAATTTTGTTCATATTCCTTCATCCTGCCCTGAGAAGTTATACCATTTAGATTTTTATGTTCTAGACATATCTCATTAACATCACGTGCATATTTTCCCCTATCCCTTAATTATTACGTGCAAGTGGTGTGACAGTATGAGTAAAAAAGTCGGATAAAACAACACGAATACGGGTTCATATTCCTTTATCCTGCTTAAAGAGGTGATACCCTCATTCATAGAGGGGGGAAGCAGGCTTTTGGATCGACGGATTAGGCCTTAAAAAGGGCGCGGGTTGTGGATTTTTGCGGCAAATCGAGCGGATTCGCGGATTTTGAAAAAACAGTGGATCGTGGATCAGCTGTGAATTTTGGCGCGGATTCCGGATTGTGCCTGTCTTGATGTTCGGATCTTGGGTCCTAAACAAAATTTGGATCATAGATATTGCTTCAGCCTTGGTCGGTATGTTAATGAGTTCATCCAAATT